TAATGACCCTAACGAGCAGAACCGCAAGCGCGCGCCTCCTTTCGCGTTATTTTAACGTTCCTGACGCGTCACGACGGGCGAACCTAACTATCGAACCTGCGTAACGTTCCTCTATGCTAAGAGGGCCGACATGGTAATGCAATTACGCCGTGTAACCACGAAATACCTTCGATACGTCGATACGCGTCACTTGGATAACGCGATTCCACGCTGGAGGGAAACGCGAGAGAATAATCGACGAGGAAACGCAGCGAAACGTGGTTAAAAATGTATCCGCATGATTCGTTTACAGAAAAATCAAATGACATTCAAGTGCGTGAGAATTGAGGAAAATTGACGCGAAGGGAATGTAACGTTCTAATACTACCGTTGCGGAAATATTTTTTCACGTTCGTTCGAATTTTCCATATTTCGAACGGCGACGAAATTTCCCCTCTGTGTTTTTTCCTCAAACATGAGAGAGGAGATGCAGGAGAGTAAAAGGTAGTTCTGCTCGTTCGAAGAATTTCAAACGTTTGAATTCCTCCGGCGAGATAAGCTTTCTCTCGTTTAAGTTTCACGGAGGAAGTGTGCTTCTTTCGCTTCTTTTTCGAGGTTTCCAGGAGACACCCTTGCTCGAGTGTACACGAGGCCGTAAATCTGAACGCTGCGAAATGTCTAGAGAGAGGCGCGATACTGCCTGAAAGAGCGAAATCGCAGCGTTCACCAGACGAACGACTCGAAAAGAACCGAGCTCCAGTCTTTCCTCTCTCTTAGGGAAACATCCTGGAGGTTCCCCGGGAAAATTCCAAATATTTGGTCGAATTTGACGAAACGTGGTAAACACCGCTTTCTTCGCCACATTTTCCCCTCGCAATCTCGAATCGTTCGGAAGAGGAAACTCGTTGGCGAGCCATCGTCCACGCTGCGTCGTCCTTGTACACTCAGGATAACGCAATTACGCGAGGGAAATGACGTCGAGGACGGCGAAGAAGTATGCTTGATAGACGGAGTATGCTTGTAGAATCCATGTCGGAATTGCTCGATACCTTTTCTCGAGGAGAGATGTAAAATCAACATTAGCGGGCTTGTTCCAGTGAAAACTCCGGTGTAAAGCGTGTCGCGTAGAGGTTTCCAGTGATATCAGAAACATTATCGGTGTGATATACGGGGTATTGCGGAGCTTAGCTGGCAAGTTATGAGAGCGGAGTGTGAGTATTACTCTCGAGTCGTGTGGAAGGAACGCTGTCGAAGCTGGGATAGATAAACAGCGGAAGAGGAAGTAGGAAACTGTGCTGATGCTCGATCGAAGATGCTTCACCCTCCTTTTTGCGGGAGGTTTTTTTTAAGTTTGACGTTAAGCAGGAAATTTTTAACGACGAAGAGGTATTTTTGGAGAAATTAGAACGTAGAAATTGTCCTCTTTTTGCCACTGGTTTTTGGACTTTGAATTTAAATGGGAAATTTTTAGTACCGAGGATATTTCTGATCGACGAACAGCAAATTTTGGAAAAGTTGCAAGCAGAGAGATCAAGGCAAAAATTAGCAAAGAGTACAAACAAATATAGGGTTGTTTTCTGACAAGGCTGAAGGTACGATTTCTACCGGAAAATCGAACGATGTGAAACACGAAGCTGCAATATAAGTTCTCCACGCGATGAAATTTCTATGTTCGTTTGATCGCTCGATTCACATTTCCCGGTTTGTCTAATTGAGTGTACACTATTAACGATAATTCGCCAGTTGGCTCTATGTTTCCCAGCCGGTCCTGCGAATACAGGTTCACATTTCGCACGGAACAACAATTCTTCTCTTTCGCGAAATGTCACTTTGCTAGTAGGTACGATACAGCGAGAGTACAAAGCTCGCTACTTTTTCCAAGAAACCAACCTCATTTTTCACTCCGCCCTCTTTAATTTTCCTCCGTTCAAACTGCTGCAAAAATAAAATCCGTACAATTAATTTAGCCACGGTAATTTGCAGATTAGAGATATTACAGGTGTATGCAGGTGTCTCGATCCGATAACCACGGCTTCATTTACCTGGCTGCCACTGTTTGTGTTTCGCCGGTGATTCCGACGATCGACCAGGAGAATACACAGAGGAAGTAGGTAAGACGAGATTATCTTTCGCGCGATACAGTATCCCCTTAGCGGCGCGGCACCTCCAGTCAAACGTTCAATGGATGTCTGCACTTTTGCATATTGCAATATCATCGTTGCTCTAGAATATCCGAGAACTCCAATTCACCTGTACTAAAATTCACACGTTACCTCTCGTACCGTGAAGTGGACCGCGGAAACGTTGGAAATATCGGGAAAACTCCTCGACTTAGATCACGAACAGCTTCCGATATCTAACTTGCACTTTCGATCCGCGTTATCGTCTAATTTTTTTCCGAGCACAAGTTGCGCAATGTTATCGTTACTCGTCAAATAAGGGGGGTAGAGTGTAGATAACGTTGCAAATGTGACGGCTGGGAGGGATTATTTTCCAATTGTACTCGCGATAAAAATCAATTTCGAACTTTTCTGAAAGTTCCTCGCCAATGGTATCACGAAATCTACTCGTATCGACGATCCTAGGTAATCAACGATTACCCAGACATTTAATTAAAAAAAGAAGAGAACCATGCGTTCAGTCTCAGAAATTTAACACGAATTTTCATCGTTCTCTCTCGTGTTCGTTTAGGTTTAAAGAAAGTATTTTTTACAACGACGTTTACGTCTACCCTTTTTTTTTCTTTTTTTTTTTTCCTTTGAGAACGTACTCGCGCGGGAATTACGAACGAGCCCACGTAACGACGGTGCTCGCGTATGTTTCGCGATTTCGTCGTCGCGAGCACGTGTGTAGACTGAAATTAGCGAGGCGAAACAAACTGCGCTCGCACGTGACACGGTGAAGTTTACTTTACGGCTGGCCTAACGTTCGAGCACGTGTAAACAGCCTTAAACTAATTTCTCTCGATGCGGGACTAGGTAACGATCGACTCACTTCGTGGTTTTCTCCGGTCCGTCGTTCGTTCGTGGATGGAAGTTCGAGAGGAAGATGAACTGAGTCTGTCTTTGAAAATTACAAAAATTCTTTCGAACCCAAAATTTGGAGTTTCTCGAAAGTTCGGAAAATTCAATTCGTAACATACTTTTCAGATCGCGAATATTTCAGTCGACGTAAGATTACGTCTCCAAGTCAGAGTTAATCAAAGTGAGTTTCAACAGAGTTGGAACGATCGAATTTCTTCGCGAGACACGTGGAATTATTTTGTCACGGTGCTTCAGAGGTATAAATTTGACAGACGTTTAAAAGCGCCACGCGTCGAACGTTCAAATTTGCGAAACAGAGAAACCCTACGCCGTGTAATGACGTTTGGTAACGAGAGAGTCGTCGCAGTTCAAACGGTACGCTGATTGTGGCCTTCCAATCAGCGCGATTATTTGTCGCTTCTTGCGGTTTTCCAAAGCGTATTCGATACCCGGAATCGCTCCTTCTTCCCCTAAACACGATCGATCATTCCCTCTCTCTTTCTCTCCTTTCTCTCGATACGTGTCACTTGTGCGAGAGCAGTTCGATTCGTCCTCATAATTTTACACATTTACATGCTACACGCTATAGTTTACTTTGCACTGCTTACAAAGTAGAGAAAATTCTGACAATTTTCTTTTTTTTTTTTCCTGTATCTTTATACGACAATTGACGGTCAAAATAGCGTTGCTTGACTTCATTGAACTCTCTTCGAATCAACGTTGAAATTCCATCGACGGAATGCGCTGCACTACAATCTTCGATCAAGTCAAGCAAGGATCACGACGCTTAATTATAGTAGATGAAACGACGTTCTTCTTACATTCACTTGATCTGCGAAGTCGAACATCATACTCGAAGTAACGACGAAACAAATACCAGTGCGCGAAGTGTCGGCAGTTCCATTTCAAGAATTCGTGAAACTGTTGCCACAGTTTCGGTCGTTCTTAGGCACGAGTGTTCGAGATCTCCCGTAAAATTTCCAGCCGTTGGGAAAAGCACCATGAATGCAAGGGTCCTCGATCCAGACATCTCGAATCCGCGATTTTCTTTCGCCCGAGCACTCTGTCACTCGCTAGAAGGTCTGCCGAAGAGATGAAAATAATGGAAGAGGGCATTAAGGAAGCGGTGAAATAAGATAAGAGGCTGTTCGAGTCGCGAACCCTGCAGGGAGGCTCGTCTTCTCTCTTCGAGGCTTTGTGGGCCGGCCTTGAACACGTGAAACGTGTCGTTGATAAGACAATCTTTCCTCTTTTTTCCTGGAAAAAAGGGAAAACGTGTTTCGATGCTGTGTCTGCCTTTGGCACAAATACCATACGCTCTTCTTCCTCCCTTCGAAACCATCGAGAATGATGGATAAAACGACGCACTATGAATGGAGTATACATATATCTATATATACAGGATTTAACTTGTATAGAGTTTAATTAAATCGTCTTAAATGATCTTCCTTCTTTCGTCGATGCTTCTTACGAAAATAACACTGGCGCCTCTTCGTTCTGGAGGGATTGCTCTCTGTTCCTGGCTCGCTCTTCAACTATTCCAACCTGTTCGTCCTCAATCAATAGACTGTCCCTCGGCCATTCCACGTTTGTCAACATCAAGAACTCATCAATTCCCCGTGGCCATTCTCACGGACAGAATTGTTCGAGCGAAAGGCCACACGACCTGTTCTCCGCGAAGAGTAATGGCGACATACGCTCCGTGGGTCAGGGAACGCTCGATTTCGTCCCTCGGTCAATCACCGGTGATCTTCGAGGTCAGCTACTGCGGCGAGCGAGCAATCTGCTGAACGAGGCAGGAACAGAGGCGGACATCGTTGGTTCTACTCGATCACACCCCTTTTGCATCACGATCGCGCGCAGGGGTAGCAAAAATTCGATGGACAATCGCACCTTCTTTCCCCCAAAAAACACTTCTTCCTTGAAAAATCATTCTCCCCGCTCGTTCGGTGAGTCCCAGGCTCATTGGTGGTCACGACGAGCGAGAGAACTTACACCTTACACCTGAGTCAACAACGTCAACTGCGCTCCGTTCTTCAACGCGTCTTTCTCCCTCTGCGCTTGATCCTTCGGATCGTTGCCTATGGTTATGTTCGATCGTGACGTCATGGTCACTGTGGTGGTGGAAGTTTTGCTAATCAGAAGTCCCCTCTCCGCGTCCTCGTCCTCCAATTCCAGCCTCGATTGACCGGAGGCTGCCAGTCGATTGGACTGAAGCCTCTCGGCGTTCGCCTTGTTTCTCCGCGGGAATACGCTGTTCTCGATGTGCAGCGTCGCGTTCACGTCCTTTCCAGCCGCACAGGTGCACGCCTTCAGGAAGCTCTTCTTGAAGTTGTCGCTGAGAAACGCGTACAGGATCGGATTCATCGCGCTGTTGCTGTAGCTGAGGAAACCAGCCAGCAGGAAGCTGGTGATGGTGATCTTGCTCTGACATTGCTTCGGTGGGGTGTAGATCAACGCTACTTGCATGAGCCAATAAGGCAGCCAGCATAGAACGTAGACAGTGATCACTGTCAGCACCAATTTGGTCACCTTACGATGAGATCGTTTCTTCTCTTTGGATTTGTTCTTCGGACCGACTGTCTGCAGTTTTCTGATCACCAGGAAGTAGAAGATCAGGATCAGTAACAGCGGAATAGCGAAGCCTAGGATGAAAGTGTACAACGTGAAGGTCGTGTGACCTCCGCGATCGGTTGGCCAGTAAATGTTGCAGTTGATCCCCTTATCAGACTCCATTGCGTTCGCGTAGAGGAATATAGGGATCATGAAGAGTGCACTGGTGCACCAAGCAGTCAACGAAACCACTTTAGAGATGAGCGGTGTACGAATCTTCGGAGAGGAGATCGGATGACACACGGCGATGTATCGATCAGCGCTCATGATGAACAGGAAGATACTACTGGTGAACTGATTGATACTCGTCGTAGTCATGTACGCTTTGCACATGATCTTGCCGAAGATCCAGCTACGCAAACTCATAGTAGTGACCAAGAAAGGTATACCAATTAGGAAACACTCGTCGGCTATAGCCAGGTTCACTATGTACATATTCGTGACTGTTTGCATATTGGAGAATCTTAGAACTACGTAAATCACTAGAGTGTTTCCAAGCAGACCGACGATACACACGATGGAATAGAGTACTTGTGTGACCAGCGAGACCACTGGTAGATCGGCCTCGCAATTCTGGATCATCGAGTCCTCTTGATTCATCTTCCTCGCGTAGTCGATCACGCTGGTGGTGCTCATTATCGTCGCGTTCATTTTCAAGCAGTTTTTCTGCCTATCTTCCCAGGTAAATCCTTCTTCTTCTCGCGGAGATCTCGATCGCCCGAAATCCAGTCCAATCACTCACCGCGGCAAGAGAATCGCCGGTGACTTTTTCTCCTTCGATCGCTTCTATTCGCCAGTTAAATGAGCAATCCTCGTGTTCTGTCCGGTATCAGCGTGCACGCGGAAGATCGCTGCGTCGACGACGAAGGGGTCGGTGGAGCCGACGTCATTCCGTCAGCTGTGAAAGGTTCGTGCTTCCGGGCGCGCGGTAACCCGGAAGTGGCCGGTGTAGCAAAACGGAGATCTGGAACAGAAGGAAAGAGCGATTTATCCTTCGGTCGAGATTGTCGCGCGCGGATTTTTTCCAGGGATTACGTCTCTTCGATTAAACGAACGCGTTAGGCTAGTTCCGCGGGCTTCGAGAGCGATTTTCGTCTCTACACGTGGCGAAATCTGAAATCTCAATCTCGTTCTCTCGCGGCGAGAGGAATCTTTCAGGTCAGACTTTCGTCGGGATTCTAAGGGTAGCTGGAAATGTAGAGACCGGTCATAGGTTACAATGGAATCAATTTGCGGTACACCGTACTTCTTCAAGTTCGATTTATTTCCACTTTGAACTCGTATTACGCTCGTAATGTGTCGTTACATCGATCTCCTCGCGGTTTCGCATGGGATATTAAATAAAACATTAGCGAGCCCTTTGAAATCATCAAATTACGCGAAACAGGATAATCGTTATTCTGCAATCGCGAATTTCTCCCTGTGTAATTAACTAATTAACCATACGTCGAAACAATGCAGCGAACGTGCATGCATGGGTTTGCAAATCACTGGCCAGTTTTCGGCTCGATTTGCACAGTCCCTGTAAACCTTGTACACGCTCGTGGATTTCATTTATTATACAACAGACGTGAAACATTAATTCGAAAACACACCTTTAAATGTGTAAATTAAGCAAGATGATTTATGTATCGTTTTAACCTCGTTCCAATGCTTCTCCGAGATTATCTTCTTCAGGAAAATTCTCTACAGCACGGTTGTCGGTCGTTGGCAACCGAAGACACGTGAAATTTCACGGAACAAGGGGATAGTTGGAACGAGAATCTTGTTGACAACTCCGGAAGGATCGCTGGGCACGTTAGAGTGATCCTTGTCGACCTCTGACCCAACAGTTGCAACGTTTCGAGGCAACCGCAAGCTTGTAAAGTGGACAAACGGACGGAGAAACTCGGGAACTCGCTGGAAAATAGAGCAACCCTCCCAAAGGCACGAATGCTTGCGGGAAAAACGCAAACGACTCTCTGTGGAAACGAAAAGTACACGTGTATCTATAGCAAACACGTTCAACCTTTAAAACGGGGCTTTTCTCCATTCTCAATTCCTTCTTTTTCAGTCGTTTAAAAACTTTCAAGTTTCCATAGAATACGTGAAAACGAGAGAAATCATTTTGTTCTCGACCATCTCGTTCCATGCTTACGAGCTTTTCTGTACGTCGCAAAAATTCTCCATCTTTCCACTCGATTTTCATCGTTGCTAAATAAATTGTTTCGGTTGCTCCACTCGCTTTCCCCGGGGAATAGAAGAACGAAACGGTAAGATTCCTTTGTGAATTTCATAGTAGAAACGTAGCATTAAGCCGCCGCCTCCCATTAAAACATCCACATTTATTTTTGCTGGTGCAAGGAAAGAAGTTGATTCCATGAAAGCGGCACGTTCAGGATGACACGGTGCGCTAGTTCTTCTCGCCGCGCTCCTATCTGCGATCGTAACGAACGGAAACAATGGAAGACTCAATTCATTCTCACTGTCGTAAATACGCTGTCGCGTTTTTGCTTGTTATTTCTCTCCTCGTTTGCGAATCTCCTCCACTTTCTTTGTCAACCGAGGTCACTCACCTTTCCAACTAGTTTAAAACTATGTTTCCCCCCTTCTATTTCAATCGTGGGTGAAGTTTAACTTAAGGGGACTAGGCAGTCAGAAGATCGATTTTTTTTTTTTTTGCATTTTTCGAAAGCACTATCCTTCTCGAGTAATCTGGCGTTTGGTTTATGTTAAAATTCACAGTATTAAGGATTTGACGGCGAAAAAGCTCGAGGGCGCCATAAAATGTTTGTCCGCACATGCATGTCAGTCGAGGATCCTTCTCGAGTAATCTGGCGTTTGGTTTATGTTAAAATTCACAGTATTAAGGATTTGACGGCCAAAAAGCTCGAGGGCGCCATAAAATGTTTGTCCGCACATGCATGTCAGTCGAGAGACGTGAAGCGAGACAAAAGTTCTTCGTATTTTTAAAGAGTTTATTATATTTTTATGTATATAAGTTTTCCACTGACTCATTCCCTGTTGTATTTAATACATTATATTACACTGAAATGTTACTGTTCCGTACGGAACAATGGTGCGGGACAACTCACGAAAGTGAATGCCAAGCCAATCCTGAAGGTTCATCAGGCAAGATGGAAGTGGACGCGAGAATGTTAATTTAATTTTTTCGTCGTTCCTGAATTTTTCTAAAAATTGACTCAGGCAATGGACTAAATTTCCATCCGACTCTTTCAACTCCCAACGGTACCGGGAAGATCGTCGTTACCGTTTCGACTGTGGGTGTTATTACCAGAGAGTGTAACAGTGGGAAAAAAAGCGCGGTCTCCAGTTTCATTAAACGCGAGTCATTATCGGTATCCAATGCGAAATTTTTATCCACGCTTTAACGCACTGATACTCCCCAACGATACATATATCACGCCGAATTTTCCAGCGAGAAAGATTCGTCGAAATCTGAAAGATTAATCGGTTAATTCTTTCGGCAATTTTCAAACAGTAGGAGATCGATGGTACTATCTATTCAACTCGAATTTCCTCGACGTGTGCAGAGGAAGATGCACGATCTCGGTGTGCAAATACTCGTTTAACCGTTGTATGAGTAAGAGGAGAGAGTAAACGGCGGTATGACGAACGAGAAAATTCGCGAGGCGTCGCTCCGCAGGCTAATGAGCGTCGATCGATCGCCATTATCGGCGCATCCTTGCCCGAGCTCCGCAATTACCCGTGAAACGATCGTCTTAACGTTTCAGTAATTTACCTTCTTCGCGCTATTACTTCGCACCAGTTTTGTTTCTCCACGGTGTCCGATCTATAACTCGATAGAAAGGAACGAAGAATTTCACTCTTTTCAAGGATAATTACCGTCTCGATTCTCCTCAAATTCTCGCTCCACTTTTCTCTCCTCGATATTTCATCGATATACGTTAAGAAGGTAAAAGATTCGTATAATAATAATAAGAGAATTTCTGCCTGCGCGCTGATGCATATATCACGAAAGCACTTATCAGCGAGCGACCTGGTAAGCGAAATTTCGACAGAGTTATAGCGCTTCTTCTCCTGGCCGTGATGCGAGGATATGAACGATCTTTCGCCAGGATATCGACAGGGTATTATTAGTAGATTTCCCTGTAATATCGTGAATTATCAGACATTTGGCGGAAATCCAGGTCTCGGCCCCAGCAACACGTGGAACTTTCCAAACTCGAACACCTACACGCCCCTTCTCTCTTCTTCTATTCCTAACCCCTTTTTGCATCCCTCTCCTCGAAAACACAACGAAACGTCCTCGTTACACGTGCATTGTTCACGGTAATATTATATCGTTCCCTTCTCCCTCCGGAAGCGCAATATCGCGTAAAAGATGAATAGCCTGGCACGTTGAAAAAAGAAGAGACTAATGCACGTATACGTCGTATCTGTTGCTCTCTTGCCCCGTTCTTCGTCGATTCTCTTTATCTTCGTCGAGAGAGAAGCAGCACAACTCTATTCCCCGGTTCCTATTACCTCGGTTCTCGTACACGTATTACTTGGGAAAAGTATCGCGGTAATAACGTGCCACCGGGTCTTCGTGTACTTTTAATGACGAGAAACGTACCCGGGTCTCGTGTAAAATAAACCCAGGTAGCGTACAGAGCGGGCCGCGAGCTTACAATTCTCGGTAACGTTGAATTAATACCGAAAAAGGGACGATTAAATTCGGCTTGATAAATTTCCCCGTACCACTTGTACACCGTATCGCTGAAAACGATGTGTTCATTTCTGCGTGTGTGTGTGTGCGTGTACGCGAACGTTGTTTCGATAAATTTAATGGGATACTACCGGTGTGGCTGACTTATGAACGACTTGTACTACTGATAGCGGTTTCGCTTATTGCAGCGGGGCATTAAGCGTCGTCCTTGGAGTCGAATTTTCTGCGACTTGTGATACTCCAGAGGGACTGGGAAATGTTGAGGATATAAATAATAAACGGGAAGTGGTGATTATGGTCGCCACTGTACGATATCGCTGAAATGACTAGTTCGCCTGACTTGTGAACAATTTCTACTACTGACAGTAGTTTCACCTATTGCTGGAGGGAAGTAGGAAACTTTGAAGGGACTGAAGAACGTTGTAGATATAGAAAAGTGATAATGACGTTCTCCGCTGTACGAAATAACCAAAAAGACAATTTTGTCTGACTTATGGGCGACTTCTACTACTGACAGTGCTTTCTCCTATTACAGGAAGCAATTACGAACATCTGAGTCGAATTTTCTGCGATTGATAAAACTTTGAAGGGATCAGAAGATGTTCTACACATAAATACGAAGTGATAATGATTTCTGAGTGTGAAATAAACTGAAAAAATCCAAGTTTCATAGAAAACAGTTCGCCAGGTAAACATTCGTAGATTCATCTCAGAAATTCCAACCAGCAAGTGTCTATATACACCCGAAATCTACACGAAGGTGAATTTCGGAGGAGCAATATCCATTCTCAAGCTTCTCCTCTATCGAACCGCCTTTCCTTCCGGTTCTCCATCGATCGCGCGTGCGCGCAAGACGAAACGTCGTAGGGCAGGCACGAGAGGAGTTACGCGAAGACAGAAGGGAAAAAAGAAGGAGGGAATTAATTACACCAGCCTCCGGTAGAAGTGGAAACTCGATCAGCCGGAATATACCGGGTGG